GAAGTGATGTCATGCTGGACAAGAATCAGAGTCCGAATAACATTTTTTCATATTCGGACTCGAGTCCGAATAGTCACTTCGATGGAGTTTACGGAGGGCGAAGGCGGGCACAGCAAAACAGGCGGTCGACAAGGCCTCGCTCGCTCAGCACAGGGAACACGACTTCAATCCTTTTCCTGTGTACGAACCCAGCAACGCTCAACAATTTGAAAATGAAAGTCATTCGAAGAAACAAGGGAGCAGGTCTGCCCTTTACGAATATTACGCATTAAACCTGCTGATTATCCCGTTGAAGTTTTGGAGTGCGTGACTGTTACCTTTAAAATTTTGTTTCGGGGGTTAGCATACGCTTTAAAACATAGGTGGTGTGCATCTGGCAAGCATCATTTTCTTCATTCTCTATCTCAAAGCGGAGTCAATGATTTGACAACACACCCACACACATACATGGCAGCCACCTTTCGTCTGTGTCAGAAGCAGTTCTGCCCACATTCTGGTTGCTTGCATTTGCTGATGTCGTGCCTTGAATTTACCCCTGTCGTGAGATTACCCCCATCCTTCGGAAGTCATTCCGAAGACAGTGGTCTTCAGGTTTGTCAACTTTATTTAATTTTTGATTGACCCAACCACCACCACCCATCTCCAAGTGTACACAATTCCAGACCTGCGACTCGTCCTGATTTAATACACGCCCGATTTTATGCCCCAAATCTCAAGCATCCCGATTTTCCCTGATTTCTCTATCGCGTTTATCCTGATTTTTTGTTGTTGCGTCCGATTCCTAGAAAAAAAAAGATTCTGCAATCTCTTTTGCTTGGAAGCACCGATTGGACTTTTTATTAGGAGGAACTTGGAACACTATTTTCTAAAACATCAATGCTAGATCTAGTAGTTGACTCACGCACATTATTTCAACTGAAATCGAAGTAGTGTAGATTTTGAATTTCGACTGGGATATATCTCAAGATCTACTTTCGCTTTTGTTACCCAGAATTCTCCGATGATGGCCTGATTACTGTAACAATTATGACATTGGCCTAAGAATAATCTATTTGTTGTTCTGCCGTTGCTTTAAAAGCAAGCTTTGTCCGAGTTCCTGGTTAGTTGGACCCATCATCAAGACCTGTCAGTGGAACTTTCAAACACTCGTTCGCATCGCGTGACATGACCACGTATATATACGTGTGAGTAGGGCGTTTGTCGGGGACCGTCGGCTGTCGGGGTCAACAAAGTTCACTCACACTGGTCGCATTGGTTAAAGTTTTTTGGGGGACTTAACCAGTGTGGGACGACTGGGGGGACGGGGGGGGGGTTGACACTTGGGTTTAAAGAGCGTGGCGTGATACCTCCTGTGCTAATTGAGGATAAAGGAATAAGGGTAAAAAATGAATGAACAACCTTGGCACGCTACCTTGAGTGTCTATGCGTTGGAAGTCAAACGTTGCGACTGTATGATGAAAATGCGAACCATTTGCATGGATGAGGAGTTATGTGTAAGCTTATTTTCAAGACTACGAAAGTTTCAGCATCACTACAACCTGCACTCTCCCAGTCTATCCAAGTCTTGACTCGAGTACATGCTCTCTATCAGTTTATTCCCTGTACTTTGAGGTCCAAATGTGAACTTATTCATCATGCAAAAGTGTTGTCTCGCACTCTTGTCTTATAAAAATGAACTGGGAACCCCACTTCCCCACAGCATTATTTTCACCAGATCCTTATTTTTTTACTCAGAAATACTGACTTTTACTTTTAGATTCATAGAGTGGTAGGTCTGCAACTCTAATTCTAGCCAGTATTACTCATTTATGTCTTGTTGTTATAATGAAACCTTACAGTTCATAAAAATCGTTAGCATTCAATCATAGTCATGGTCTCTGTGTGTGTGTCTGTGTAAATGTGCATGTGTTAAATGTTGGGCCTTTTTATTATACCAGGCTCCATGTTGTTTACCCTAACTTAGCGACAACAAAACAATGATTTTTGCAAGAATTTCGCGGAGTTTCGATTGATTTTGGTGCACAGAGATTGGGGTCAGGCTTGTTTTAAAAAGTAGGAACTATGTTAATAAGTGAGTAAGTGCACTTTCATTTTGGATTTCGCTCGAATTTCAATTTCATCGAGGCGCTGACAGCTGTCGAATGGCGACAAGGGAAAAACCCAGAGCCACTGTCAGCAACCAAATGGAGGGAATCTGTTAAACAGTTAAATGAATAGGGTGTTGATTGCGTGGTATTTTTCCCCCTTTTTATTCAGTTTAGAATGACAGCTTATATTCTATGGCTTGGAGTTTGAAGATCATTCTGGATCAAATTAATACAAAAAATTAAGGTGCCCTATTATAAGCAATAATAGTGGAATTAAGCCTCATTTATGCCTTGTCATGCAATGCTTCTTGATCTGCAAGCTTTTCACAGCAGTGCGTTAGATCTATATTCACTCAAAACGTGATCAGAACCTGCAGTTTTAGCCATAATAAATAGCCCAGAAGTTTGGTGGCTTACATTTCCAGGAGTTGTGGAAAAAATTGGAGTATAGTTCTTGAGCCTAAAGGAGCTCTGAAGGAGGAAGAGAAGTATTTTAACCTTATTTTAGGGCCCAAAGAATAGAGATGAAACAGTGCTTGAACGTAATGTCCTTCAAGAGGTTTTTGGGATGTATGTGTGTTGTCCTGAAACTCACTGGTTTTTGGAAGATTTACGAACATTAAAGTTCTTTTGTTTGTTTGAGAGTAGAATTACTAAGTATTCCTTTTTATGAATAAAAAAAAAGATTTTTCTGTTTCTTTCAGTTACTCATCATAGCTTTTCTAATTTTTTCTCTTTTTTCAACTACAGGCTACAGGATATGCAAGGTGCGTTTCGTCAAAGGACCATGTGAAAAAATTGGATTGTCAGAAAGAGTTTGCTGCTTTGCAAGAATGTGTGAAGAATGCTGTGAGTTTTTGAATCGTCTAAGTTTTTAAGTGTCGGCTTGAAGGCATAATAATATTGGGGATTAATGATTAATGTCAAGTTCATATTTTAAAAAATCCTTGCACATCTCTCTTTTTATCTTAAAGTCAGTATGTAGGAAAGTGATGTTACCTTAATGAATGTTTTCTGAAAAAAAAAAAAATGAAAAAAAATGCCCTACCCCATGTACAGTCAAAACTTAAAGTAAGATGTGGTTATGAATAGCCCTGTTTCTTAGTCACTAGACAAAAGAAGCGTACTAGTGATAAGACGGAGGAGAATTAGGTGATTTCAATTGATAGATGTATTGTTTGAGGTGGCAAAGCGTTGTCCAAGATTTTGTTGTGAGAATGGAATTTGTGTACAATAGAACATGACTATAGCAGCACCTGCTGCAGTGGGACCTGACCAGAATCCCTTTTAAAAAAAATATGTAAACTCAATTACTTATATGCTTAGGTTTAGCGGGGCAATGAAAGTCTCGAACTTGGATACATCGGGAGAGATCAAACGGGCTTTAGCTGGGGGGGAAGGGGGTGGGGGGGGGCTGTAGGCGGGCTCCAAACCAGGCAGTCAGCGGTGCGACATTGTGATTGGCCAGTCCAGTGCTGAGTGAGATTGGGCAGGCGGCAGAGAGAGATGGTACGGATAGACGTGTTAGGTGAGCCACTCCACAAGTGATGTGCCATCGGCCTAGACCTTGGCTAGGCCACAAAGTAATAGAAGAGGAGAGGGTGTAGTGTGTGATTCCTGATTCATTGACATTGAATTGCGATCATTGATGCTCAGGCATGGGCACACATCCACCTCACTAGTTCTACAGTAGGCCCATCGTATGATAGACAGCACAAATAACAAGACCAAGAAAATGCTTCTCTCTCGAATTAAAGGCCGAGATAATCAACAAAGTTGACAAGAAAAGGAAGGCTAATCAATCTAAACCGCAAATTTGATTGATATGGAAGGGAGGTAATCTTGTTGATTTTTTGAAATTTGAAATTAATTCCCCTTTGCATTTCTTTTGCAGGAACTTGCCAACAGCGGCATTTTTCTTCAGGAGCCAAAAGCCCCGCTATAGCCATGTTCTACAGAACTTACACAATAATGTGCAATGAGAACTAGGTTCTCAGTTTTTCCACGTGAAGCATGTAGCTGTTCTCTCAGTGATTTGCTTTGTGTGAGTTGTCTGATGTACTCATGGAAAGGTGTATATAACTTTATTTTTCTGTGAAATTTGAAGGTAGAGGAAGAGACTTGACAAATCAGGAAATCTGTAAATCGAAACAAAATCCTGTTCCTGTAGGGTAGAATTTAGAAGGTCTAGCATTTTAAATGGGAATACAATCATTTTTATTTTGTGCTTGTGCGATGATAATTTTGTCTAATTTTTTACAGATGAAACAGAAGAAGTAACAAGTCTGGTTGTAATGGTCACGTGAGAGCTTCAGTTTTATTATTCTTTCGGTGAGATATTGTTTGTAATGTTGACCAGGTTGACATTTACAGTTTCTATAGTTGTAAATTAAGTTAGGTAAATGCCAAATCTGAAAGTTGCTGTCTGGGTAGAGGGTTAGAGACAGCTGTGTGGAGGGAATACACAGATTTAAAACATTTTTTTTTTCAGATTATATCTTTATGGTGTTATGTTGCATTTACTGTTCATGATGTTGTGTGTTCTTGTTTTTAGAAATTAGAAATGAAGTAAAGCAGTATGCGTTTGATTTCTGCTTGCTTGAAAGGTTTCATATGTGTCACGATGCAGTGGAAACAGGTGCTAGTCAATTTTTCGGCATGTGGGGTTATTGGTGTCACCTGAAAGCTTATTCATTTGCCTTGATTTCAATGAAAAAAATACCTATCTATCTTAAGCAGAAGTCAAAATATTTACGATTGAAGGACGTGGGGGTCGCCTGATTTGTGGTAAAATTGGCAAGAAAATTGCCACCATAGCTTGAGTCTTTGAATACTATAAAATTGCAATTATTATGCCTTTATTCAATGTTTTTCAGTAAAATTCACATGGAAATGTGTTTTTATACTGACAAAAGTGTCGAGTCAAAAAACTAAAATTTGATAAAATTTGCCAAACTGGCAGAAAAATGCAGGTTTCTTCAATTTCATTAGTTTGACGAGGGCCAGATTTCACCAGGCTGTCTCACATATATGAAATACTAGAGGAGCAAATTCATAATGACTTATCTTTGTTTGCCTAGATGAGGAACAAATGTCACAAGATGTATCATGAGAATAAGTGCCCGAGGATTACAACAATCTGCTGCACCTATGTTTCTCTTCCTTTCACAAAAAAATTTATATATGTGTATTCAGTGCTACTTTAACTCCTTATTTAGGGCAAACGGCTGATGGAAGCGTTCAGTCCGAGCTGCAGTGCCAGCGATCTGCTGATAGTGGCTGGACTAATCTCGACAATGATATTAACATTTTACTTTACTTTTTGGCAATTGATGAAAGTAGGTCTCTCTTACTGGGAGTTCTACCATTAGATGAAGAACTATCAAAATAGGTTCATTTGTTTTGATACTTTTTTAGGCAACATTGTGGAATCAGGCCCTCATCAAAATAATGAAATCGAAGAAAGTGGTGTTTTTTCTGGTCGTAGGAATTGTTTTATTTCTGAATTTTGTTTTATTTGGCCCTCTACCTTTTATGCCTGTTTAAAAGCACGTTTTGTGTTTGATTTTACTGAAGAACATTGATTTGTATAAAGACTCAAAAAGGATAAATCTGCAGTGTTCAAGGACACTCAAACTAAGCTTTGGAAGTCGCCAAACTTTGCCAGCCATTTTCTCACCAATTTTACCTCTGACACCAGATGATCTCATCTACTTCCCTTTTGTCGCAGTCATCTCAACTTTATTCATGAAAGATCGGCTTTTTTGTTGTTGCCAAAAGCAAGACAAATGAGCAAGCCCTTACAATAACCCCATATGCCCAAAAATTGGCAAGCGCCTGATTCCACTGTGTCGTGACATGTCTCAGGTTTTTTTGTACCAAACGAGAGCTCCAACATAATGGGAAACACCCCTCTAGAGATAAAGAGTTAAAAACAACGCTCCTTGGGTCTGTAAGAATCTATGTTCAAACCCTTATTAATAGCAATTAATTATAAGGCCAACCCCAGATAGTTCCAGTATTCATTCTTGTCTATGAAAACAAGATTTTGAAAAATTGAAGGAGCCCTGAAATTTAATTCCCAACCTTGTGGTGGCTTTCCTCATTTATATGTTTACTAATATATCAATGACAACCTAATAATGACCTTGAGCCGAAGAAAGTTTGTCTCAGAGTATGCGCACTGTTGTTTTATTATTAAAAGTTTTATGTTTGTTTGTTTTTTTAATGTACGTCCCATCGACACAATTTAGATCATTTAAGAGGTGGGTTTCAACCCAGCCTCTGAGGAACAACCTGGTCTGAGAGGGAGAAAACATCCCAGCAGAAAGACAGAGATAGTAAAAGTTCTCATCACCTGGGAATTGAACTCAGGTCTTTTTCATGTGGCGGTGAAGCCTAATTGCTACACCACAGGTGTTGGTGTACACACTGTGTGTTTTTGAAAGTTAACTTGCTGGGCATAATATACTCTATATTTTTAATATATTCTTTAAGTTTTTCATTTTTGGGGCAAAGAAAACAGCATGTCATGGTAGCAGTAAAAGTTTTGCCTTAAAAAATAGTCGAGCCGAAGAGCATTGGGTACAAGTCTTGTGTAAACATAAATTAAGCTGATGGTAAATTGTTGCTGTTCGCCAGAAAATGAGTAACTTAAAATTGAAATTCTTTTTTATCATCCTGGAACAAGTTTAAATAGGAGTTGAAAGTTTTTTTAGGTTGTTTTTTTTTTTTTTACGGCAATTGTGATAATATTTTTGTATTGGTTGAAGAGAGAGTGGAAATTCAAAGCACAGTGTGCTGATCAGGCAGAGGTGCTGGTCCTCACCTCTCAGCACTTTGTTTTATGTGTAATTGTCATAGGAGCCCCTTTAGGAAGGGGGCGGGGAATAAACTATCAATCAATGGAAGCCTCCATTACAGTAAATAAAATCACATATATCAGAGGATATCAGCAGACATTTTGTCGAGGATGAACGGCATAGTTTAGAGACAACACGTAATGGTAGATATAGTGTACGGGCAATGAAGTTTAGACGTGTCATCCAAAGCTCTAGTGGCTCAAGCCTATCCCATGTTTTTTATTTAGAAAACAACATGTGCTACCTTATGGTATTGGGTTAGTCTAATTTGGTCCAAGTTAATATACGAGATAATTATAAGTATATATAGTCCCCGAGCTTGCATGTGCAAAAAGGATAATGAAAAGGGGACTGCAAACAAGAAAATGCTGGACTGAGCTGCCTTTATGTTTCTAGTTTCTTTCTGAGTTATCAAGGGAGGGATTGGGCATTTTAATTACTACCCCAGAAGTCTGTTTGATTTCTCAAAACTGATAACCCTTTTACAATGCCAACTTTGCTAACACACAGAGTTTTCATTGTTTATAAATCTTCTTTTTCTGTTTTTGCTTCTCAGATCAGATTCTGAGAATGAGACAACTATTCATGGCCAACAAAATGTGCCAGTTTGCAGAGAAGAACTGGCACCAGTTGCACAGATGGGGAAGAGTGTCCTGCTTCTGTATGTTTCACAGTGGACTTTGCAGCTGCCGGGATGTGGGGCCAGAAAAGTATTTAAATAAGTCTCCAAATTTCAGAATAAATGGAAACGTTGAACACAGAGAGAGGCTGCCTGTGAAAAATTTAGTTTCCTGTGGAAATTCTGAACGAAAGTGGCATATTGGTGATAAATTGTCTGTTTGTTCTTTGAAGCTTATAGAAAGGTTGTTGAAGTTGTTGACAGAATACAGTTTTCCCAAATATTTGAATAGCTTCCAGAATTATGTCGACGTGTTTGGGAGGTGTAGGCCTTTATTTTTTAATGTATTTCCAGTTTATGTATTGCAAACAAATCTGGACCCTGAACGGCGATTTTCAAAGCCAGACTTTTCAGTTTCTAATTATAGTACAGAAACCAAAGAAAGCCCTGCTCGCGATCCAAGTGCTGCTGCACTTAATCAGACCAGCAAAGGGCAGAGTTACCGCATGTCAGATGCGAGAATTTTCCTATTGGCGAAAATTCTGAAATGTAGCAGGAAGAACATGAAGATATTAATGAAAGAGAATTCTTTCTTTGATCATTTGTCGCCTGAAGTTGTAAAGGAGAAAGTTGATGTCTTGCAGTCTTTTGGCTTGCCATTGACATGGGTGCATGCAAACCCCAGGGTTTTGTACCATTCGTCAGAGTTAGAAATTGTTAAGAGACTAAAGTTGTTGAAAGAAAAAGATTTTCTCAACACCAACTCTCTTCTCAATCAAGATGGCCTTGGGCATTACCTGGAGTGCAACAATGAAACATTTTCCAGTGCTTTCAAGTACCTGTGTGAGAGGAAGGACTCCTTAGAGGGCTGTGTTGACCAGTTGGAGTACTTACAATTTCGCCTGCAGTGCTCAAAGGAAGAGGCAGAAACTCTTCTGAACTCGTACCCACTCGTAAGAGGAGTGTCCGAAATTCGCCTAAAGCAGCAGCTGGATTTCTTTCTGAAGGAAGCAGAGCTGCCACCAAATTTTGTTATCAAATATAGAAAGCTCCTTGCCTTTTCTGTTGATAGGCTACGTTCAAGGTGGAAGATTATGAGAGAGGCCGGGATCACCTCCGACAAGATGTTTGTGTATGTGTGGTGCATGACAGAGAAAAAATTTGTCATTGACTATGCTTTGTACGTTACATAATGATATGCTTTAGCTGATAGTCTGTTTTAAGCCGAGTTTACGATTCTGCCTCTGTTGTACTAGCAACTGTATAGAGTAAAATACGAAGAAAAGTCTCGTGTGCATCATAGAGTAAGATACGAAGAAAAGTCCTATGTGCATCGTAATTGTTTAGTATATTGTGCTGTTAATATTTTTCATGAGTTTTTTTAATTTTTAAGATGGTGTTTCTTGAGAGCAAGTGAATTTAGAGAGGCAGAGAAAACAGTTCAGTGTGACAAATATTTTTAAAACGCTTTTATGGGAAATATGTTCCTCCATTGAAAATGAAATCTATAACCCACTACTTTGTGATTGTGATCGCATTGCTGATTTCTTTTTTTTTTTTTTTTTTAATGGGACAGAACTCTACCTGTGCAATAGTCCCTGTTTGTCCTCGTCATCTCCCTTTATAACAGTTTGCAATGTGGGTACACTCAAAATGAAACTCGGGGAAACGGGGATCTGTTGCTTTTTAGTATCAGCATGTGATTACTAAACTTATTACGTGGTTGCTTCAAAACTAATTTTGGGCAAAAGTTCCAAGTATCCATGCCAGTCATCTGTATTGGTCATCTGTTGCATGTGGGTGTGAGCAAACACTGTATTTAAGTATTTTTGCCACAGGTGCACAGTATAGATCAATGTACACAATACATTTAGTATTTATGGATAGAATCCAAGTGACGTCATGATGATGAATGTACACATATATTCTTACCAGGTAATTTCTTTTGTGCGTGCCTTTGTCTGCATTTGTTTTTGTTGTCAGCTTTGGTGCTGCTAGCAACACACCTTTCGAGCTTGGAGATGGATTCTTTATTAGGCGAATGTTTCTAATTTCTAGAGATTCCTGGGATGATTGCCCTTTAGTCTGTGTCCTGGTCAGATAGGAGATCAAAGTTCTCCATTTTCACTTTGACTGTGATGAGAGAAAAAAAAAGAGATTCAATTGTTTGTTTTCCTTGTGTGGGTGTGTGCTGGCATGTATGTATGTGTTCTTGTATGTGTGTTTGGGGAGGGGGGAGCTTTGCTAGTATTAATTACAAAATTTAGATTATAATGATGTGGCTAGTGAAATGTGGTTTTGGAAGTGATGTTCTACTGTTTCATCTCTACAGTAATTGAACGTTTAAGATATATTTATATATGTTAATGATTGTCAATGTATGGAAGTAAAGCCAATATTTTATCTTTTTTGCCCATGACATGGTCAGTTCTAAGGAGTAAATGCTGTTTTGAGGAGAGGAAGTGAAACACGAGTAATGTCTACAGCATGTCAAAATGTGTATGAATGACTTCTGTGACTTAACCTGTTGAAACTCTGTGTTCTTTGATTACTGGTAAATATATTGAAAAGAGAATTAAAACTATTATTTATTAAGTCTATGTTTGTGTGATTTGATGATGGTATCGTTTATAAAGTATGTTGCATTTTACGTCCATAGTGTTTGCACCTTGAGGAAGAATGGGTGTGGGTGGTTGGCGGGTGCTCTGGTGTGGTTTGCTTCTTGTTTCCTATCAAACATCTATAGTCCTTATCTCCCCTCCTTTTTTGTGTTTGTTACTCTCTTGTAACACCTGTAATCTTCGGCACTTATATGACCTTTAATTGTGTTGCAAGTGCCGTAAAACACTTACTAAAACTAAAGAAGAATGGGTAGGGCTCTCGTGGCCTAGAGGTTAAGGTGTTGGCCTCTCATTCAATGGTCCTGGGTTCGAATCCAGATAGCGGTGGAAAATTTGCTTCTAAAAAATTTTCTCCTTTCACGTCCTTTCCTGGTTTTTAACAATGTTCTGTCATCTGCATTTGTCTCCACTTTCTGCCCCCACCCCCTCGCCTCCTTTACCCCCTCTGGGCTCCTGACTCTTTCTGCAGCATTTCTACTGCTTCTCCTTGGCTCTTTCTAACTGCTTTCTTTCAGCCACACCCCTGATCTTATGGTAGGTAAGATCTACACCTAGCTTTCTCAAACAAAGGCGAAAAATCTCGGAGGTCTCGTGTGCAAGTTGCGCACATTAAAGATTCCTTGGTGTTCCAAGATCGATAAAGAATAATAGGCTTTGGCCGCCACCCAGGCAAAATATAAAATTACCTACCAATTGAAATATGTTTGGTGTTTCTCACGCGCTCATATGACCTTATGCAGTTGCGAGCGCCGTGAAACACTTACCAAAATATGAGAAAAAAAAGAATGGGCTGGTACAGGAAAACACCTAAAAATAGTTTTAAACATTAAAAAAAAAATTAATGTGTCTGTGTTATTCTACCTCTAGAATGATAAAAGTCTTTTCACTCAACATGTGAGTTGACTTGCTATGCACTGCTGATGTTTGAAATCCATGTTTTCATGAGAGGAGTTCAAGTAAAGTTAAAAAGCAGTGGTATTACATCGTCCCAAAAGGTTTTTACACTCAACCACAAAGTACATGTACTTATGATTCTGTTGGTTCCCTTGATCACACAGCAAGGGCTTCTCCCCATACTGCAGCTGATGCAGTGATATTTTTTTTGCTTTGCAGTATGTACTTTAAAGTAGGCCTACATACATGTATGTACATGTATTTGTTTTGTGAAGTGCATTTGGACTAGTATTCAGCTGTTTAGGAAGTTTCTATCTGTCACTTTTGCTGTCACAAATTTCTTCAGTCATGGATATAAGTTGATGGAGAATTAAGAGAAAATGTCTGCTCTTCTTAACTTCTCCCAATGTTTGGCGGATGCTCTTGTGCGGTTTGCTCCTTCTTTTCTATCAATGTATCAAACGTCTATCGTCCTTTTCTCTCTTCCTCTTTTTTATTTGTTTATTACTCTCTTGTAACACCTCTAATCTTTGGCATTGTATGACATGTGTTGCAACTGCCATTAAACTCTTTTATTTTAAAAAAGCAGCAACCTGACAACTAATTTGACCCTGTCCAAGGTGTCTTTGGTATTATGTTAAGTCTCTGAAATGCTTATAGTTACTTACTAACCTAACTCACAGAAGTTTCAGGTTCAAATCAAAGGGGTCAGAATTATTTTATTTGTGTTTCTTGATTTCTTGTCAAGATTTTGTCGTCATGAGGAAGTGTGCTCTGCTCTAAGGATTACCTAAAATTAAAATATATATAGCAGGGTGTTTGGACTTCTAAGAAGCCCACAGTTTGCTCTTACGCAACTGTTACTCGTAGGTCTGAAGCAGGGAGAGAACAGAATCTGAAGTGCCGAAATATTTGTGGACAGAGGGAGGAAAGATGTCAAAGGGTGGTTACCAACAAGACACTCATACTACTACACGTGTACTATAAGTTGTTTTGGAGATGCCCCATTGAGCATTGTTACAGCCTTGGTTATTTAAATCATTGTGCCGATAGGTACGTAAAATATTTGTAACAAATTACAGCATGTAGTTAGTGAATCTGGAACAACCATTTATTGACCCAATTGGCGCCACAAGAAATGACACCCATTTGAACTGTTCCCCGCTGATTCATCGATGTCATGCTCATCGCTGTGCTGGAATTGCAACAGGGGACTGCTGCTTTTTCTTTCTTCATCCTTACTATCTATCGTCAATTTTCCTCTACTTCTTTTATATGTTTGTCACTCTCTTGTGACCCGCTATTTCCGGGGTGCCTTGATAGTCGAAGCAGACTTTGTACTGTTGAAGCTAGAGAGGTGAGCAGAGTAAGTCTGATTCCCTGTAAGGACTTCCCTGTTGACGTCCACCTCTTGGCGCTAATAATATGGCCTTATGCAGTTGCGAGTGCCGTAAAATTTCTACTTTAAAAAAAAGAAAGAAAGAAAGAAAGAACTGTTTTTGAAAACTCATCTGTTGTACAGTGTATTGACTACATTAATATATTGTTTTCTGGTGTCTGATTTGTAGCAGCTAGCAGTAAGACATTTTTCTTTTTGTGCAGAAGACATGAGTTTGATTCACGTTTGACGAGATTTCTTTATCGGGCATCTCCTTCTGTCTGCTGTGATGCTGTATTCCTCTCACTCTCAGCCCGGGCTGTTCCTGACACTGACAGGCAGGATCGAAGCAGCCGGCCTCCTAAACTAACCTAGATGAGCTCAATTGTGTCATGGGGACATGAAACATTTAATTTACCATTTTAAAAAGAGAAACGATTTATTTAGGCTTGTTGCATCTGCCTTCTTTCATTTTGTTTTCTCTTACTCCTCGGCCAAGTGTTATACTAAGTATAGCGCCCAGCCTCTTAGACTAGACTGACCTAGATAAGCTCAATTGTGTCATGGGAACATGAAACATATTTTAATTTACCATCTAAACACCGATTTATTTCGGTTTGTTGCATCCGCCTTCTTTCACTTTCATTGTTTTTCTCTTTGCCCTGGACCAAGTACAAGCGTTATAGCGCCCGGCGAGTAGTGGCTGGGCATTTTTGCCTGTGGCCGCAGAAGATAGTAGGCTTACATGTTAGACTTTCTGTGAGGGGGCAGTTATCTCATCGAGTATGTTCTCCCGCCTGCTGGAATGCTGCATCCCGCCCAGACTAGGTTGGCTTTAAGCAGTGATAGATTGTGTCACGTGCGGAACTAGGAGCACCCCACCCCCGAAATTATCAAGATTTCAAGATTGTGTCACGTGCGGAACTAGGAGCACCCCACCCCCGAAATTATCAAGATTTCAAGATTGTGTCACGTGCGGAACTAGGAGCACCCCACCCCCGAAATTATCAAGATTTCAAGATTGTGTCACGTGCGGAACTAGGAGCACCCCACCCCCGAAATTATCAAGATTTCAAGATTGTGTCACGTGCGGAACTAGGAGCACCCCACCCCCGAAATTATCAAGATTTCAAGATTGTGTCACGTGCGGAACTAGGAGCACCCCACCCCCGAAATTATCAAGATTTCAAGATTGTGTCACGTGCGGAACTAGGAGCACCCCACCCCCGAAATTATCAAGATTTCAAGTCAAGATTGTGTCACGTGCGGAACTAGGAGCACCCCACCCCCGAAATTATCAAGATTTCAAGATTGTGTCACGTGCGGAACTAGGAGCACCCCACCCCCGAAATTATCAAGATTTCAAGATTGTGTCGATGGGGATGAAAAATATATGTTTGTTTTGGTGAGAATTTTATGGCACTTGCAACTGCAACACAATTAGGTCATAGAAATGGCGAAAAATAGAAGTGTTACATTACAAGAGAGTAACAAGGAATAATATTTTACATGTGTATCAATGTCCGATTTTAAGTTTAACCGTGCAATATTATTGCGTGAGCTCTGATTTTCAGAAAAATAGAAAAAAACAACAACAAGCAAACAAAAAACAGCAACAACAAATCGTTATATTCTATTTCTTCCTTAACAATACCACCTTCGCTGAAAAATATGCGAAGTGTTCAATGCTACTGTTTGCTTTTGATCACAGATATTATTGCTTTGATATCATCAGCTGATAATAATAATAATAATAGATAGCATTTGTATAGCGCATATCCCCGCTCAACAGCAGGCTCTATGCGCTTTACACTATATTATTACCCCAGCAGACCATAGAACACTCCGAAACATTCTCAGCTTCCCGGGAAGCATACAGTGCGAGCAGCCGATTAAGCGCTCAAACACTATCAAACTGACATGATTTCTCGCTGTCTATAGCCGGGTACCCATTCCCACCTGGGTGAAGTGGGGAAAATAAGTGTAAAGTGCCTTTCCCAAGGACACAACGTCGGGCCCCTGACGGGATTCGAACCCACGACCTTACGGTTGCGAGTCCGAGAGCCTAACCACTAGGCCACCGACGCCACAAATTAGACAGCCTCAACACAGCGTCTTAACGGGGTATCTGATCTTCATCAACGTCTACCTTAAACTTAAACAAACAAACAAACACCACCACCCCTAATCCCCGGCCATCTCCACCCTCTTCCTCCAAATGCAAAGGAGATTCGACTTCTACGTACTTCTAAGTAACTGAATCGCACAGTTGACATTTTCTTTGGTGGAGGAGAGCAAGAGCGACAGTTGAGCCAAAAGCCTAACCATCGCCATACTGAGTGATTTAAAAAGATCTTATGCGAGGGTCGATGATAACAATAATAATTGATGTACAGCTGACTCCGCTTGTGTTGAATTTCACTCGCTTGAGTTGATCTTCTAAGTTCTGTTATATGGCATATACTGTTAATCTTTTTCTCCGGTACAAGCACTTCCTCTTCTTTAACTTACAGTTACAGGCCCCAACGGATAATTTGAACTTCGGATGAATTGATCTTCAATTTTTCACTCCCTCGACAACATCAACACATCCGTAATCAACTGTATTTTCTTGTCACTTAAATTGTCATTATTAATAAGATCTATGCCAGTACTTGAGGTTTTACCCCACATGGTATGGATCGGATTGACGAGTACATTTT